TTACACTTGAGTAGGTTTTGTTTTGTTGGGAAACTTCTCTCTGCATCCTTTTCAGCAGCTAGAGTGCAGGATGAACGCTAACTAAGGTTTGTTTTACCAATATGCCTCCATTGCCACCATGTTGAATCTGACAGTTACCCCCCTTTGTCCCCAGGTGGCCCTCTGAAGGATGCCCCGAACCTCATCTGCACTCCCCACGCTTCATTCTACAGCGAACAAAGTGTGACTGAGCTCAGGGAGATGGCAGCGGGCGAGATCAGGAGAGCTATCCTAGGTCGAATACCGGATAGCTTAAGGAACTGTGTAAACAAGGAGTATTTCACACCCACACCCAGTGAGTCTTCCCCCTCCCCAGACACCTTGAAAGTAGCGTGACTGGTAGAGTGAGTCCTTCCCAGTGTAACCACAATAGGTTCCGTGAACTGTCATGTGACACAACGACCTTCGTGGTCTAGTGTCCACCTGGAGAGAGGAAGGCCAAGGGTTGGATACCCAGCTGCATCATAGCAGACAATGTTAAAAGATACTTGTTGTACTTGTTGTTTCCCTGTTTCCCTGCCTGGCTCTTGGCATAAGGGGCTAATACAAGTACTGGTCGGCTAAGAGTTGGTATGCTGTGTCCGAGTAGATTATTCATGTTAAAGCGAATGCACACGTATGTCACGTCACGTCCAGTCACATCACGTCACGTCACGTCATTTTAAACCCCATTTTACCTCACCTCAACTCATGAGAGGCAACTGAATAAGGATCATGTGATCTTGTATGACACTGACTTTTTGTTTAAAACAAAACTGGAGTAAAGATGATCAAACATTGACAGTGACATTGACATTCACTGTGCATGCTACTTTGTCTATTATTAGATTGATTGTAGTGAGGGGCGGTTGGGTAGCCTAGTGTCAGGTCGAAGATCTGAGTTCGATTCCCCACATGGTACAATGTGTGAAGCCCTTTTCTGGTGTCCCTCACCGTGATATTGCTGAAAGCAGTGTAAACACATACTCACTGATTGTAGCGAAAGCTTTGCACCCATGTGACTTTCTTATGTGCTCTCTCAGCTCACTTGCATAAAGGACACAATATCATGCGATTGGTTTTGTTAGCTTGCCGCACTCTGCAATATTTCGGCTCTATGACAGTGGTCTAAATAATCACGTCTGGACCAGACAATTCAATCAATAATTGACTTCATGAGCATCGGTCTACGTCAATTGGATATATGATGACATGTATCAACCAAGTCGGTGAGGCTGACCATCCGATCCTGTTAGTTGCCTCTTACGACAAAGCGGTTACTTAACCCAGTATGATGTTATTACAATAACTTTTGTTTGGTTTCAGATCCTGGTAGTGTCCGCTACCCTTTCCCCCCAACTGGTTACCCTGACAGTATGAACGGTGCTGGCTACCCTGCATTTAACCCAGCTGCCGCCGCTGCAGCCATGGGTGTCCACTCGACAACCGACACCCACTCCGTCGTCCCACTAAGTACCGCCCACACGACTGCTCACAGCACTCTGGCTGAAGCAGGCAATCACATGGCCAAAGCAGAAAGCTCCGAGGTCGTCCATTAACCCTATTTTTACAAATTGTGCTGTAAACTAAACTAAAGTGCTTGACCGCACCAGGAAGGGTTCATTTGTGGAACAACCAAGCTGGATTTTCAGAAGTTGAGCTCAAAAGGAAATAGGTTATGCTGTTACTTTTATTCTTGGATCAGGCCCTGACAAATGAGGGAATTTGAGATGAGAGAAGCAGCCGAGATCGTTACTGCGTCTTGAGAGCTGATGGTGCAGGAACTGAAATTGAACAATTCAGAGGAGCGAAGAATGGTGGCCATTGTGTTACCATGGCAACAGACGCAATCTCAGCCACGTGCAAAACCAGACTCCTAGAGTTGCTAAGAGCAATTGTCTTTTCTACCCGAAACTTTAGAATGTAGAGATTTGTGTCTGTTTAAACAAAAGGCAATTTGACAACTTAACTGATTTTAAAATCTAATTGATAAAATCATGTAGGATTTGTGTGTAGTTGCTTCAAAGGTTTGGAAACGACCTGTCTAGAAGACCAGAGTGTGAAGCTTCGTATTGTCGTCAAGAATCACGTCCGAAAAATTGTGTTGAGTGTATTGGACATGGAATATTTTCATGATCGTGGCCTCCAAGGTTTCAAGCCAGTTGGCTTCTAGGTGTCATTTCATGTGCAAAGCAGCTTAGGTCAGACATTATACATAAGTAATATCGACAGCAAACACCTTCCTTCAAGGATGGCTAGATTTTGTATTTTAAGATATTACAATTGAGGTGTAGCATGGTCACTACTTATGTATCTTGTCTGTGTAATAAGGACGCCATGATGGTGGGTAGGTGTTCAGGATTTCATCATCATGAATTTTTACTCGCATTTTGTCAAAGAAAGTTTTTAAGCCAAAGATAGCAACTTTGCACTTCTCGTATGTTCACCCAAATTTCCACCTACCTGAACGTGTGTAGTGTCGACGCAGGTGTAGTAGTAACTTTGCATATATCAAAGGTGATTTCATCTTTGTGGAGGTCGGATCAAAGATGGATTCAGATGAACTTCTGCAAATGAACTTGTTCACTTGAATACAATTATTTTTTGATATATGGTCATTACCAAGCTTTCTTACAGATTTGAAACAGAGGAAGGCAGTATTTTTGACAGACGTAACTTCATTTGTTGCATTTCTTCACTTCATAATGGGAGAGATTTTAGCATCTGTGAGAAAGAAACATTATTACTGCATTTTGCAATGTATTTCATTATTCAATCATAATTATGTTCATCCATTAGCACTGGCGATTTCCCACATGGCTTTTAATCCAAAAAGCTTTCTGACAATCAGCATTGATTGCTTTGTGGCGACACTTCCCCACTCGAAGGACCTACATTCACTTGATGTACTTAGATCATTCTGCTCTGAGAGAGGTTTGTGCCGGGATGTGGTGTAGGAATAAGGTGGACGCTCAACACGATGTAAAAGCGGTTGGGATGATAACGTGGAAACGCTCAGGCAATGGTGCATTCGATTCATCCTCATCCTTATTGACCAATTACTTTGTGTGCAGTTCTACTGGATGTCTACATGGATAGACACTGTTTTTCTCTCTCGTCATCTTTAATACAACCGACATGCATGTTTTCTTTTATACAACTTTCAAAACAGTAACTGCGGTCGGTGCTTGATATGTTTTGTTGAAATTGAAATGTTTGATAATGTTTTGTAAGTATTCATGGAAGATGAGGACTATGCATAGAGGGCGCTGCTCCTGGCGGCCACCCCTCGTAGCGGCTGTATGTGCTTGTCTTACTTTAAACCTGGGACACATTTTCTTGAAGAATTAATTCCATTGGCATATTTTTAGTTCCTCTAATTCCTTGTAGTATTTTCTGAAACCCAAGGATTGAACCGTTTATATTTCCTGATCAACACGTGCCTGTGTCCATGTATTTTATGTTTACATTAGAAAAAAAATAAATTGAAATTAAATTGAAGTATGAGAATTTTTTACAAAGTGTTAGTATTTTTTTAATGCAGTTAATGAATTTTGAAACTCCTGCATCAAAATGGGGAAATTATTTTTTGAAATTTGTATGCATTTTGTTGGTTGAATTTGGATTGTCCAACAGCTTCCAGCAAATGCAAATAACTTAGGAAAATAAAGCTGTGGTTTTTTTTCTCGAGAGTTTGTTGTCCCATGTCAGTATAATGCTTCATTGCATTGTCTACGATTCATTAAGCTTATAGACCTATCTCAGTAGCTGTAGACTAGAAACAAATGTAGATAAAATTCGGAAAATGCCAGTATATCTGATCTGATCTTCCAATATAATTTTATGAATAAAGACAATAAAATTTTCTACAAATTGGTCTATTTCTTTGTTGATCTCTGAGTGACTAGGCAGGCTGCCTTCGTGTGCCAAGAAACGCCCCTTACAAATTAGAAATGATTGTGGGCTGTGTGTTGAGAAAGAAATAGTCTCCAAGAATGGCATTCAAATTGCGTTTTTTAGGCAGTGTGTTGCCAATGGATTGAGGTGTGACATACTGTTGAAATATTGTAGGTGGGGTTAGAGATGGCTCTGTGTCCCGTATCGTAACACAATGGGAAAGGCAGAAACTCAGCTGAGACGTCTTCATAGACACTCTTCTGGTGGGAATAAATGTGTGCAGTCTTCGTAATGTATAAATATGTATGTCATGCTAAGGACAATCTTCCCAAACGAACAGATAGGTCTTTAGGGGTGTTATGTGTAGGAGAAACCATGTCTCCGAGGGATTACTAGAGATCGTAAATCCTCACATGACAGACGTTCCCGAATGTGAGGGTTTACAATCTCTAGTAATCTCGAGGAACTTATAAACCGACTCATCGCATAGACAACGTTTTTAATAAAATAACTAATAAAAACTCTCAAATGTATAATCTGTATCAGATATGAAATATCGCCTGCAGTCGTGAACTCGGTTCAATGAAACCGGTAACCTCAGCACGTGGGTTTCGTAGGCTGTTCAAGGGTTTACAATGATTGTAAGCCCTCCTGCGAGGTGTTACAATCGTTGTAATACCTCCTACGAGGTGTTACCACAATTTCAAAAACTCAATATCGAGTTACACAAACAGCCAGTAGATTTATAAGATTCACTCACGTATGGATGTGCCTACCCATGTATCAATTTACAAAAAGTTATTTTTTAGAAAGTTTTGCTATAAACTGATCTGGCTAGTTTTAGTTTATGAAACAAACTTCTAAATCTGAGAACATGGTACTATTAGATCCTGCATTTAGAGGGCGGGATCCAATCCTCGTGCTTGGTAGATCAATGAGTAGGTGCCATCCGTCGGCACGTGAAGGTACCCGGCTGTGCGAGTGGTCGACTACCCCCTCGTCAGATTCCCCAGTCATTGCTGGAGTTTCCCACATCCTACAAGATGTTGGAGCTGAGTCTGGAAGCTGTTTTCAAACACATGACGCTCTCTTCAGGATGTTTTATTACAATGACATATATACAGATAATGTTGGACTCCATGGTCCCTCATTGCACAAATACTTCTTATATCCATCCACATGATATACATCCTCCAAATAGTTGCACTTGGCGTGGAAATTTTTAAGAAAAAGGATGTACCGTATTCGACATATTAAGCACCCAGGGTGCTCTTATTAGAATATAATTTTGGTAAAGTTGAAAGATTGTAAAATTTTGTGGTTTAAGCTGACAGCCTGAAATGATACAAAAGAAAAGTCTGTGCGTATTTTACACGAGATATATTTTCCAGAATTTAATCGCCCATATAACACACCAGTACGAGTATAATACATGAATAAATAAGTCTTGTGTACATTGATCAATCGGAAGGGGTGCTAATTGGGATTGTTCACTAGCCAATATCGTAGCAAATATCACTCTGGGCGCTTATTCAGTCGAATACGGTATTTTTAGAAGATTCATACATTTAGCTGACAAGATAAAATATAATTAAATCATATCTTGAAATTTTGTTATATAAAGGTATCTTAACACAAACAGCCATCAAATGTTTCATGGGGTGTAATAAATATGAAGCGATTAAAAAGTTCATTTATTGCAAATAATTTCTTTTGACCTAAATGGTACTTTCTATACTCACCGCCAAAAGAAACATGAATACCATACAAGTTGGTTTATATATGAAGAACAGCTCATTTTCAAGAGATTAGTTTTGTCATTAAGTGGTACACATTGGAAACATCTAAACGTACATTTTGGTATAGTTCACGTTTCTTTTAGTGGTGAGTATATAAGGCCGTGTAAGTGGGAGTTGGTTCGAGCATCCTTGATGCATGGATATTATATCTCCACTGCATATACCCTAGATCCATAGTTCTGCCTTAAGCATGATGTGAATAACAAGACGTCCAAAACAGCCATCCAATCAAATAACACTCCCAAGAGAAGTTAGTGATGAGAGATTGAAAAGCTTATGTCATTTTCAGAAGACGTGATGGCAAATGGATCCAGGGTATTAATCATCATAGAATGAAGATATATCCCTGGATAATCGAGGATGGGGCTCACATTCTAATTAACATGAGTGAGTGAGTATGGTTTTAAAGCCGCTTTTAGCAATATTCCAGCAATATCACGGCGGGGGACACCAGAAATGGGCTTCACACATTGTACCCATGTCGGGAATCAAACCCGGGTCTTCAGCGTGATGAGCGCACGCTTTAACCACTAGGCTACCTGACCGCCCCTTATTAACATGACCTCAATGATGCATATTCAACCCCAAGCTTGCTTCTTTCCCCGCGGCTTGAATCATCAGCTCTGGACAACGCTGCCTGGACTGGTGTCTACCTTTTCACCACAGTTCTTGGAGTTGGAGTCTGTCACTGTACCAGATTTGACACCTGACTCCTCACCTTTGGCATCCGATGTTGTCTCCTCTGATTTGGGATCCTGAGTTTTGGTTTCACCTGACATGATCATCTCTGATTTGTCCTCCGTGACGACTGTAGCATCCCCAGCTGCTACTGTGTTGTCCTTGTTCAATGTTGTTCCACTGTCGGTCAAGTCTGCGGAATCGGACGAGTCATCGGTACCATCTTGTTTCTTGCCCTATAGACATAGAACTTAGATAACTGCAGGCAAGAGTGTTCTACTAGACTAACACGTAAGGCTGTCGTACTCACCTCAATGTTCTTAAAAAATTGCATCATAGGGCAACAGTATCACGCACAACTGGCAGGTGTGTATATCACAAATGAACCCTATCATCTTCCTAAGGGAGAACTGACTATAAAAGTCCAGTTTCCACCACTGCTGAACCAGGCTGGAATAATGGAGTTATATTAGATAACGAATCTGCATAGTCCAATCAAAATCGCATAATGAAATCAACATCCGATTTGTAAACTGCCATGCAGGTTTCGGTTGATTGTAGGATTCGCAAAGCATGTAAATCGTCAACTTGGCATCAAAAAGATATTTGTCAAATCTTTTCATGTTTTTAGTCCAGATGCTCATGTGATTTGATGCATTTCGCTAAGTAAGACCTATTTTATTACAATATACATCTTGATTATCGACCATATCGTCTTGACTGGGCACCACCATTTTGTTTGAAGCAAATTCAAGTGATATGAGGTGGAATCTGGTTGGTCAACAGGAGGGACATAGAAAGGACATAACACTGGTGGCGCTTCGATCGAACCCAGAAATTCAGGCCTAGTTCGGCAAGGGTGGAAACTAGACTTTTACAGTCACATAACTTCGTTGCCTCGGGAAGATGGAACCCTACTTGCAAAGGCGAACTATCTGTAAATAGTAACAGGATTGTCTCTATCATGCATTACACCACATATCTTCAACATTTTAACCATTTATTGTGTGCGAAGATGACAGACAGTCGATCATAATTTGTTTGCTGATTCATCCATGGATTATTTGTAATAGGTGAACTGGTCACCTTGACCTAATCAATGTGCATCAATGCCAGGTTAATGTTACCTACTCACCCCCTTTTCCTTTGAGAGATCACCATAGATTTTGAACATTTTCCACCGAGGCACTTCCTCTTCCTTTATGTCAAACTTGTGGAAGTGCATCGTCCCGAGCCACTTCAACATACTGGAGGTCAAGGTCAACAAGGTTTGGGTAAAGCTACAAAGCTTATAAAAAAATAGTTGAACTATCTATCAAAGGCTAGCTCGTTGCAGGCCCTGATTTTGAAATCAGTTTTATACCTCAGAGAAGGCATTTTGATTGGTTGATTTGTGAATGAGAGAAATTTTGTGTTAAGTGTGTGTGTGTGTGAGTTGGGTTTAACGCCGCTTTTAACAGTATTCCAGTTATTTCGCGGCGTGTCAGCTTAATGTGGGAGGAAAGCCCGAAGTGATGCAGGTTTCAGACGTTTACCACTTTGGTGAAACCCACGAGCACAGGTATGGTGCTGACAAACCTAGAAACATAATCGGGGCGAACTGGGATTCGAACCCCCAATCATAGTTTTCTGGCATGCCCAAGGGACGCAACTCTGCACAGCGAATCGCGGCGCCTTAGGCAACTGGGCTACCCGTGTTAAGTGATGAGAGAGTGGTAATGTCACTTCTGAAACGAAGCTGTGTTTGAAAGGGTCCAGGGTATTTATCAAAACAGAATGGCAGTTTCTGAAGTTGAGCATGAGATTCAAGGGATACATGTAGTAACCCTAATGTCAAAAATTAAAAATTTAGAGGGTCCCCTGAATCAAATACAATAGGACCCCACAACCCCCTTAACTCTGATCACTGAATGGAGACAGACACATGGGATGATCAAGATGTGATGCACAGAGCTGTACAGCAGTGGAGAGCGTGTTCAGTAGGATGACGGCCAGTTTTGCGTATACGGAGGGACGGTATTTAGTCTTGTGAAGTGCTACTGCAGCCATACGTATTCACAGGTGACGTAGGGACTGTATTCAGACCCGTGAAGTGCTACTGCAGCCATACGTATTCACAGGTGACGGAGGGACAGTATTCAGACCCTTGGAAGTACTACTGTAGCCATACATATTCAGAGGTGACGGGGGGACGGTATTCAGATCCTTGAAGTACAACTGCAGCCATGAGTATTCACAGGTGATGGAGGGACGGTATTCAGACCCTTGAAGTACAACTGCAGCCATACGTATTCACAGGTGATGGAGGGACGGTATTCAGACCCTTGAAGTACGGATGATGCCTTTAGAGGAGATTCCTGCGCCTCATGGGGAAGCCTGACCACAGAACCCACAAAGGATACACACTTTCCTCTATCTCAGACTTGACTATGTGGGAGAGAATATGCTCCTTTTTGAAATTTTCCAGCACGTCCTGTGGAAGAAAAACAGTTAAGACCAATCAAGACACAACCTACTCCAAGGGCGGATCCAGCATTTTGAAAAGGGGACCAAAATATCAAAATACTCTAACAGATAATTTTACTGCCTACAACATACTATATTTGTTTTTCAAAAGTGCATAGGGGACCCCCCTATGTACTCACTCAGCTTATCCCTTTTTGTTTGTTTGTTGTTTAACGCAGCACTCAGACATATTCCAGCGGTCTGTAAATAATTGAGTCTGGACCAAAACATCCAGTGATTGACATCATGCGCATCAATCCATGCAATGACATGCATCAACCAAGTCAGCGAGACTGACAACCCAATCCTGTTAGTCACCTCTTATGATAAGCATAGTCGCCTCTTACGGCAAGCATGGGTTTCTGAAGACCTCTTCTCTGCCCGGTTCTTCACTGGTCCTCTGTTTTGCTTAACACATCACTCTACAACATATCACTTTCAAAGTGAGTGAGTGGGTTGGGTTAAATGCCGCTTTGAACAGTATTCTAGTTATATCGCGGTGAGTCAGCTTAATGTTGGAGGAAAGCCTGATGAGACTTGAGCTGTAGTTGTTACCTCTTGGGTGAAACCCGCACGTATGGGCATGATGCCGACATACCAAGAATCATAATGAGGGGAAATCTGGGATTCGAAACCCATGATCACATCAAGGATGCAGCCACAGAGTTTACTGTGGTTGCGGAGATCCCTGTGCTAAGAATGGCTCATTATCAGGGCCACACTGGTCTGATATGACCATGGGAGGTAACTCTGCACACCTAACTCACACTTGCCTAAATGGTGAGGTCACCCACACTCTCACACCTTTTGCCTTCCCAGTGGTGTTACTGTACCTCGTATTCTGACCAGTCCAGCGCTTCGTGCATTCCATCTTTGCCAAACCTCTTGTTGTAGCCGTCATAATGGAGCTATCATAGAAATGATCAAATTTGATGATGCAGATGAGACAAGGGACAAGGAACATCCAAACTGCCCCAAAAGAGACAAAATGAAATGGGCTATATGATGTTTATTGCCGTGTTCAAGACTATTTCACTCATATTGATATACTGTTTGTACTAGTCTGGACTAGTGCTAGTTTTATAATGCTAGCCCACTGAGATACCATGCCGCAGTCTAACATGAATACCCCACACAGACACAGTATAACTGACTCCGAGCCGACCAGTCCTTGTTTTATCCCAGGAACAAGTATCTTCTTTTAAAGCATTTTGGTATGATGCGCCTGGTGATCAAACTACTGACCTGCTCTCCGGCCAGATGCTTGATCCACTACACCATGGAGGCAGTAACGAGCAGCTCAAATGGATTCTACAAGACTTCCAATAGATTTGGCAAGAAATATATTTTCTTGGTTTACGGATTGTTTGGGGAAACATCTTTATCAAAAGACATTTCACATTTCTTAGAGGGGATTCAGCAGATTGCTTTGAAAGTTGAAAGTTGTAAACTGAATTTAACATTATTAACTTGATCTAACTGGTGTTTGTTTGTTTGTTGTTTAACTCTGCGGTCTGTAAATAATCGAGCCAGGACCAGACAATCAAGTGATTGACATCATGAGCATCCACCCACACAATTCGGATGCAATGACACGCGTCAACCAAGTCAGCGAGCCTGACCACCCGATCCCGTTAGTCGCCTCTTATGACAAGCTTTGTTGCCTTTTATGACAAACATGGGTTGCTGAAGACCTATTCTCCCCCGGAGCTTTCTAGTACCCACTGGCTTCTTAAATTGATAACCATGTGTCTCTTCACGACTGGTGTATTTGGTATCAAAACGAAGTAAAACTAAATGATTCGGAGTTGTTTTCACTCTTATTACATCTACTAATACTTTTAACAAGTACTTTGTTTGTTTAATCCAGCACTTAGCAATATTCCAGCTATATCATGGCAGTCCATAAATAAACCAATCTGGACCAGACAATCCAGGGATTGATTACATGGGCATTAATCTACGTAATTGGAACATGATGACATGCATCAAGCAAGTCAGTGAGTCTGACCACCCAATCCCGTAAGTCACCTCTTACAACAAGCTTGGGCTGCTGAAGACCAATTCTAACCCGTATCTTCACTGGTTCTTTTAACCTGTAATTGATGTACTGCCATGGGGTCATTTAAGAATTGACCTTCACTTTCTGTGAGTTCATTGGAGTATGAACCTGCACAGAGTGAGGGCCAAACTGTATTAACGTCGGAGCTTGCAACGACGTTCATACATTGTTTGGCCCTCACTCTATGAAGGTTCATACTCCAATGAACTCACACAAAGTGAAAGTCAATTCTTATAATTTTTTATCACAATTTCTTTCCTCAAAGGACGTAGGCCAAGATCTAAACACAATTTTATTTAGTACGTGTGACTTCATGTTTACACTGACAGCCAAACAACAACCAGCTATATCGTGGAATAAAATAGTTCCCCAAAAAGAGAGGTGAGCGTATGGATGCAGAAATTGCTCTTCAGAAACATCTTATGCAACACATATGTTCATATAATATCCCCATTAGATGAGAAAGGTCTGTAATGAACTACCTCAGTAAGTTAGTCACAATGACAGCGCGTCGTAATACATTTACATCAAGTACAAGACGTTAAAATGGCCGACACGATAAACGTGACGGGAGGATTTCCAAAGTTGTTAATGAACCTGTGGCGGTTACATGTGTTAGTCATCATTGATCAACTGACCGATTATTGAAAGGTGATTAAAGATGCGTCAAACAGACACCAAGGTAAATTCGTAGATTGCTGGAGACGGTCACTGTCAGCCTAGACACAGATTGAGTCGATACTGACGATAGTTTGGATGTGCATTTTTTCATTGTTCATTAGGATGGGCCGTAGCGAGGAAATTCGTGAACAATCATGCAGTCAAGCTCTCTTCAAGGTCAAGGTTTCTCAATGTATACTGAAATGCTGAGACCAAGATTAAAGGTTCTAAATGATCAGAAATAATGCTTATGTATGTTTTCATGCTAGGGAATTCCCAGGGGTTTCCCCAGGAATGTGGAAGTAGTCCATCAGTGTTTATGTCATTTCAAGTTCTCGTGAAAAACGTATGAACGTCAAATTGTGTCGTTCATACACTTATGAATGTCAACTTTGCAGTCATGTGACCGACCTCTCGTCCAATGGAAAAGCTGTATATCGTGTAAACGTCAAATTAAAAAATTATTGCCTATTGCAATGCACCGACAGCTGAATCAGTTCTCACACCCAGCCAAGTGTTAATCCAGTGCTGTAGATCAACATAAGTTATTTGTGATCAACTCATAGGCTTGCACAACAGCTGGAATAAAATATATAGTGTTTCTGTATGTTTTTTCAACTTATCAATATTTTAGAGTCGACATATCCCGTAAAAACATACCTGCTCCAGCATGAGACCAACTCCAGGGGCCTTCGGTACATCAACCTGCAAGCACCACCAGACATGGTCAAACTAACTCTATTGCAGTCACACACCAGACATGGTCAAACTAACTCAAATGCAGTCACAGCACAACAATGTCAGCAATAAGGCTAAAAAAATAATGGTCTTGGTTCTCAGGCACTGACTGCATCATCATGAAGTTCACTGCACATTTCGTTTTTATTTCCATTTAAAAAAAAAAATCAAAAAATCAAAAAAAAATCCTTAAACATTCCAACTCCAATGGTAGTCAAATACTGTATTCCAGTAATTTACTCATCAAGGAAAACATTTATGTAGGGAGGCCCTTTCCAAGGTTGATTGTATTTGGTTACACAACTGTTTATTTGGTTACATACTAGTTTGAACAACTAAGAAAAGAAAAGAAAAACGCCCGCCCGTACTATATTTTTAAAAGCCATTGTCTGAGAACCAATTCATTCCTTTTCTTTAGCCTAAGCTATGAACTTAGTGTATATATTCACATGACATATTTTGGGTACTGAACACTTAGACTTAACTGGAATTCTACATTAAAGAAATATCTAATGCAAGTTATCTTAGGGCTGATGCTAACTATTGGCTGGTATCTGTGGTAAAATATAAGTGACTTTGGCTAGTATCTTGGTGTTATGTGAGTGACCATTAGCTAGATTCCCTGGAGCAATGCGAGTGCCACAGATCGCCATGTTGACCCACCTTGTCCGGCTGCCATGCTTTCTCCATCACCTCCTCGCCACAGTAGCCTTTCACAATGGCTATCATCAGTCCTGAAGTGAGTGAGTGAGTGAGTTTTTGTTAACTCTGCTTTCAAGAGGTATATAAGTTATATCACTGCATGTCAGTTAAGTGTGGGAGGAAAGTCTGACATGACGCTAGTAGTAACTGTTAACCACTTGGGTGAAACTTTTGAGTATTGGTATTGTGCTGATCAACCAAGAATCATAGCCAGAGAAAATCTGTGAATCAAAACCACGATCACAGGATCCTGGTACATCTAGGGGAGGCAACACATTTTTACATTTTAGTGGTTTGGGACAAGAAGACAACCAAACCAAACAGTTTTTAACTGTAACCATTGATAAATGATATACATGTCCCACAATAACACCAACTAAGTGAAAAGTGGATGTGATCACGGTCTACTCAAGTGGATGTGATCACGGTCTACTCCAGTCAATGTGATAACGATCTACTCCAGTCAATGTGATCACGGTCTACTCAAACGGATGTGATCACAGTCTACTCAAGTGGATGTGATCACTGTCTACGCCTGTCAATGTGATAACGATCTACTCAAGTGGATGTGGTCACGGTCTACTCAAGTGGATGTGATCAAGGTCTACTCAAGTCAATGTGATCACGGTCTACTTACCGATCATTTTCCGTATATGATGAAGCATGAAGCTCTGCCCTTTGACCCTCAAGACAACAAACTCGGTGCCATCTGTTACAAACGGCTGGCCACACTGGAAGGTGAGAGAAGGATCGTGGTCATGGTGACACTGCACACCTGATACGTTTCATTAGTAAGGTAGTAAAGGGGGTACTAATCAGGAATCCATGCAACATTCATTTATCCCTTCACAAAACGTACTTGCATCAAATTTAATTTAGTTTGCTTGTTTACATGCGAGATAGGTTCTTGCAAAAAGTATAAACACATCCATACCACATCGGGCATTTGGGGATCTAGCATTCTTTCTAAGTTAAATGTAGACAGAGTGCTTCTGGTTTTACCCCACTCTCAGCAATATTCCCTCAATATCACAGCAGGGGACAACAGAAAGGGCTTCACATGTTGTACCCACGTAAGGAACAGTCTACACTTTACCCACTACCCCATATTTAAAACACATCTGTGACGTCATTCTATTGTTTGAACGCTCCATTATTTTTCAGAAAGAGTTGTTTGTCAACTATACATTATCTTGAATCAACATTTGAATTAATTTCCACTTGGAATAGATGGAACTATTTTTTAACATTTATTGTCAAGTGAATATTTTCATTTTCTTTCAGAAAAAACATGTGTCGCCAGCGGGGTTCAAACCCGCATTGTTTGATTTGAGAACGTGTTATTGTCAACCTAAGCTACGGCGGCACATAAAGGTATGGTGTGAAATTAACTATTAAATATTTTCATCATTTTGCATAATGCTTAAAAGCTAGTATATATTCTGTGTTAGAGCAGGTTACGTACAATAATGTTCATATTTATAGCAATTATATATTCTGTGTTAGAGCAGGTTATGTACAATAATGTTCATATTTATAGCAATTAGATAAACCTTTGACGAGAAAAACAAATCAGGTAATATATATATCCTTGTTCGGGACTCCATATTTCCTATTATTCCTGTCAGCATGAATTGACAATGTGCAAGCGATTGATAAATACTAGTTCAGGACACAATGAAATGATGAAGAGCCGTGTACCATGCATTGTAAATGTCAGCTCGTGACGGAGCTTGGTGCACGTGCAAAAGTGCCAGAGAACTTATTCCTCGTGCATCACGCAAGTTGACTCACGCAGTATAAATACAATCTACAAAGAGATCTGGTTTATTTTTCAAATATTTTCCACAACAGAATATTTTGTCAAAGTGTAAAAGTAGGAATGAGTAAAAGTAGGGGAATATCCTCATAACTCTCCATTCCTGCGGCGCCTCTGCTCCATTATTTTTGAGGAATGGAGAGTTATTCGGACATTCCCCTCTACGTAAATACAGTAAGGAACGTACCTCAAAACTAATGATATATCTCTTGGCGCTAGGATCATCAGGTTTTCTGGAACAAATTACATAACAATTTATGAAATGGGATGACAAGGCTGGAACACTAAAGTTTGCACAATTCAAAAAGATTTATACAGGTAGATGTATGAAAATACTGTTTGATAGTAAATTAACATTAAATCAATTTTAACAAAAATAATTCTCCTGGCTCTTGGCATATTGAGAAAACATGTTTGTCTGTTCAAAATAGAAAACAACTGGGAAATTATCTAAGCTCCTCTTAGGAAGCTGTTTCTTCAGTTGTATATTTGCTTGTTGTTCAATGCTATACTCAGAAATATTCCAGCTACATGACAGAGGCCTGCTAATTATGTCTATCCCAGATTATCCAGGGACTGATATAATGATCTTACAACCAGGATAGGTTGCTGGGGACTGATAGCATAGCTCAGAATCCCCATGGGTTCCTGATAGTCGCCTCTCACAACTCGCTGGGGACACATTAATATGTTTTGGTACACAGCTTTCAGACTTACATGCCGGAGGTAAAGTTGTGGAAGTTGTGAGTTCCCTTGTACATAGCAAGAATTCTGTTGACCTCTGTGATGATATCCTCTGAAACAAACAATTAGTGAATCAACCATTTTCCTCTGTCTAAAGTAAGTGGCCTTGGTTTGAACAGTATTTGAGTTCTGTATGTATTTATCATCCAAAACTGACGTCTGCACAGGAGATATCGCTGGGATGAGATCAAGCAACATCTAAGAGATATCACAACAATGAAATTGTGTATCAATGCTTTTCAGGTCATTGTGATGTCATCAGTAACCATGATATCACAATCAAATGACATCACTAATCTCTCTTTCACTGAAGCTGTTCAGCTGTACCTTCTTCACTCAAGACACAGGTTATTACTGTCGCAAAATAGACAACGTTGATTTTGGATAATAAAAAGAATCCCACCTTTTTGTCTTTTGATATCAAAATTTATGAACACTTGTCAATAAAGTTTTAAAGTTTTTTATTGACAAGTGTGTGGTGTGCTAGATTTACAAAGATAGCACAAACAACGACTGATGAGTCCTCAGAGATAGTATAACAGTGAGTGAGTGAGTGAGTGAGTGAGTGAGTGAGTGAGTGAGTGAGTGAGTGAGTGAGTGAGTGAGTGAGTGAGTTGGGTTAACGCTGCTTTTAACAGTATTCCAGTTATATCGAAGTGATGCAGGTCTCAGACGTTTACCACTTCGGTGAAACCCACGAGCATGGGCATGGTGCTGACAAACCTAGAAACATAATCGGGGCGAACCTGGATTCGAACCCACAATCATAGGTTTCTGGTGTGCCCAAGGGACGCAACTCTGCACAGCGAAATGCGATGACTGGGCAAACCGTGCCCCCAGATAGTATAACAAGCATGACTGGGGTATCCATGACATACAACTGCAGCATGGTATCTCAGTGGGCTAGCACTATAAAACCAGTCCAGACTAGTATAAACAACCACACACAAGTGTGAAAAAACCTTGAACACAAGATTAAACCCAATTTCACCTCACATCATCTGAAGTGTGATCATTACTGTCCCAATGTTTCTACATTTCAAGTCAAATTACTTCACACCAATGCCAATGTTATAAATTTACTTCTCAGCATGTCTAATGTTTGGTGCAGCAATCATGTCGGACAGTACATTACATTTCAACCAAAGCACCACTTCAACTTATGATTCATATGCTGCTTCCGGTATGCTAAACGTTACACACAAACCTATGGCCCAAACTCATTCAAATCAGATGGAGGGAGGGTTTTCATAAGGTTATGCATCATCATTCATTGAATCAGAGCAACAGCCTGGTTGTGGCCTCGCATTGCGGCTAAAGGGCCATAACTCTGCATACAAAGTCATGACCCCTTGGCAACCTATCCCCACTCCAAAACTAGGCAAACGCCAATCTCATCAAAATCAAATCTTAGCTCCTGCCATGGCTAAACAAAGACCCGAGGACATCCCATTACGGGTCACATGTAGATGCCATGCCATGCTGTAGTGGATGTGTATAAAGAACCCACAATATAATGGTATGGCCTTAATATCTAAATACAGGACTATTAGTTCCAGTTCGTGTTTCAAGATACAGAAATCAGACATGTTGGTCTAAATGCATCGCTCACTCGTACTGAGAATTTAGAGTCCACACTGATGGCTTACTTGAAATTTCCACTGATGCAACCACCTATGAATGTGTCCTCAGATCATCACACAGAGAGGTATCGTATCCAAGGCAAAAAATAATAAAAGTCATGATTCTTAGGCACCACCTGCATTATCAGAAATTCTGCCGTATGTTTCATTTTTATTTCCTTAAAAAAATTTTTTTTAACAAAATCCTAATACTTAAAAACAATGCGATCCAATATAGCACGCAGTTACTTCCCTTTACATGCGCACTGCTTTACTGCACATCTTGTGTTAAGGTAATGGCGGCAATAGGAGTTTGTTTGCTTGTTTATGTAGGGAGGCCCTTTCCCAGTTTGATGGTACACAACTGTTTATTTGGTTACATACTAGATTGCAACAAAAACCAAAAACCACCACCCTCCCTCACTATATTTTCAAAAGTCATTGCCTGAGAACCAATGCTTTCATTTTTTAAAGCACAAGTCCAAGATCTGATTTACTGGTAAATGAGATTGGTTCTACCCGGGGTACAGCGACACTGAGTGAGATCACACATTAGAACAATCCCATGATACTGTTTGTATGACTCAATGTCAAGCATTGGTACTGGCAACCTATTCTTCAGGCATGACGCCTGGAGACACAACTCACTTCTTATGATGCATGTCTTGTCTTACCTGTGATTCTATATTCTGCTGTTATGAACTGAAAAATACAGAAATATCATTACAGACTTTCTTTTATCATCAAGATTATTTCTAGATTAATAGATTTAAAACAGAATTGATTACTTGACATTATCAAAGTGTATTGCTATTCATACCATTATCACAGATTCTTGGATCGGGATGTTAAGATATGATATGTTGCCACCTAATACACAGTTTGGAGTCTGTTGGCACATCCATTTCCTATTTCAGATAGAATAGATCCTAATATAAGGGAGATAACTGTTTTACACATATTGAATGTTGTCCTCTGGGTTGTAAGTAATGTAATGTTTTAGCTAATTACAGTGATGTCATGGTAACATATGACAGTGATTAGAATGATGTGTGTGTCTGGTACAGTATTGGACTCTTGAAAATACATGTAACATTTTTCATGCCCCTAAATCTTTATCATCGTCACAAAACATAGAACTGTGTCACATAATCAATGACCAGTCCAAGTCACTTGGCAGTGAACTGCCATCATAACAACCCACCTTCTTGAGCGGTGCAAACGCGTACGTTGGCGTCATGTAGGCGTATGTTCGGCCACCACACTGGTTCTTACTGTTGAAGGCTTTCGTCGCTCTCCTGTAGGCTGAAAATATTGAAACATTCACTGAGAGAGTGAATTCTGTTTATTGATGTAGTCACCAATATTCCAGCTGTCATGGCAGCATAAAAATATTCAAGTTTGGACCAGGCAACCAGTCACTGAAAGCAAAGAGCAACGATCCATGCTTACGGGGCATGATTACCTGTTTTGCCTTTTTTTTCCTCTTCTTTTTTTAAAGCAATTCAACTATCATATAAGCATTTACCATCATTCCTCCTATCATGATGTCATGCCAGTGTGACATCATTCTGTCTCACACCAAATCTCATTAAAATCAGATCTTAGTTCTCGCTACCGCAAAACAAAGATCTGGGGCGGTATTCATAAAAAAAACTAAGATTTTTCTTAAGTCTAAACTTAAGGTTTTTTTCAGACTTAAGTTCTTTTATGAATACTGCCCTTGAGGACATCCCATTACGGGTCACGTCAGAACGACCTTTCGCAAACGTTGACCGATCAATGAAATGACTGACAAGAAATTGATATTAGCCAATCATAAGGCAGCTTTCTCAAGCTTTAGGACACTAGTTTCAAACTGGCGACTACACTTCGAAACATATTTTGACATATTCTCAATTAAAAAATGTTAAAACTGATAAAAAGAACATTCTGGAATGGCTTACAGATGGCCTAGATTGTATGGGTATAATCATAAAACCCGTAACTGTCGTTCGGAATACCCTCTGTTAAATATTTCGAGGTTGCATGATTAGAAAACACAATCCGACTGTCACTTTCATGATCTGGTAAGCGACTCTGATTGGCTGGATGAAAGGTCGTTCTGACGTGACCCGTAATGGGATGTCCTCAGATCTTGTTTAGCGATAGCGAGAACTGAGATCTGATTTTAATGAGATTATCTCACACCTGGTGCTATGGAAAAGTACCAATACATTTTCATATTAAGACCTGACTTTAAATTGGCTTACGATCTTCCAACCCTTAAAAAATATAAAGTGAAAGAAATTTACCTGAAAACATAAATATCTACTGGGTACCCCAAATACATTTGCACTCAATATGGTTACAATAAGACAAACTGGCTACGCACTGCTCAACATATTCATATGACTTGAAAAAAAGTTGGAAAAAAAATCTGAAATTTCATGTTTATTTTTGTTTTTATTTCCCTATCAACCAAAGATTTCATAAACATATCAATGAGGCAGGTTTAAAGAAACAGCTTGCCATGTAATGTTGAGATACATTATCTGCAGGTCATGCTTACACACTACTTGTGTATGTATAAACCATTATCTGCAGGTCATGCTTACACACTACTTGTGTATGTATAAACCATTATCTGCAGGTCATGCTTACACACTACTTGTGTATGTATAAACCATTATCTGCAGGTCATGCTTACACACTACTTGTGTATGTGTAAACCATTATCTGCAGGTCATGCTTACACACTACTTGTGTATGTGTAAACCATTATCTGCAGGTCATGCTTACACACTACTTGTGTATGTATAAACCATTATCTGCAGGTCATGCTTATACACTACTTGTGTATGTGTAAACCATTATCTGCAGGTCATGCTTACACACTACTTGTGTATGTGTAAACCATTATCTGCAGGTCATGCTTATACACTACTTGTGTATGTGTAAACCATTATCTGCAGGTCATGCTTACACACTACTTGTGTATGTGTAAACCAGACTGGGGTTTGTCCAAATCCTGACTGTCTTACTCACCAATAACCCTGATTTGTGGTGGCAAGCTTGCATTGATGTTGTCCACTAAAGTGTCCTGATTGAGCAACATGTAAAAAAAAATATACCAAGGTCAACATATCATCATGGAAAATATAACAGAAATTAATTGTAAAAGTGTGTTTGTTTGTTTGTTTGTTTGTTTGTTGTGCATTGCAGTCAGCCATAACCCAGGTATATCACATGACCAGACAAACCAGTGGGTGATATAATGAGCAATCCCATAGCGTCGGGTATGATGACACGTCAACCAAGTCACCGAGCCTGACCACCCAAACCCATGTAGTTGCCTATTATGACAAGCCATAAAGTGCTGCAGACCCATTCTAACCTGGATCCGCATGGAACATAAAACCCAAACAGAATTGGAATCCGGCTTAGTGTACAGCTACAAATGTCTTGCTAATAGTGGAAGAATATTCTTCCCGTGTTGTTTGCTTATCTGCCAAAGACACAGGTTTTGATTCCAATTTTGCGATACCTCTTATGCGTGAAGATTTGAGGGCACCTCCACTGGAGGTCGAGTCAGCTGATCTCTCTGACCAGCCAATCCACGTTGAGGAGGTACAAAAATGAAGCCAGTATATTTAGAAGCTGATTGGCTCAAGAACCTGTGCATCCTTCATTGAGATAGGACGGTCAAAGGTAAACTAAGGGTTTTTGCATTAATGTCACTAGGACCTTGATATGACAAGCTTGGCTCAAGTCACAGTTTTCACTGAATGAAAGGATCATTGGGAATGAAAGTCGAGCTACATATCTTCAGTGACACCACATTTCCCACGGCTGAGACACCCTTGTCAGTTCGGGCTGCTCGCTGGAAGGACATCTGTAAGACAGACAGGGGACGAATCAACACAACATCAATAATGGTTTACTTGTTGCTTAACGCTGCAGTCAGCAATATTCCAGCTTTATCACAACGGCCTGTAAATAGTTGAGCCCGAGTTAACCAATGGTCAATATCATGAGCAATGACTTATTCTGTCGGGGTACTATGACACACAATCAACCAAGTCACAGAGCCTGACCACCAGATCCATTTAGTCACTTATTACATGCACAGGTTACAGGGGAAATAATCTAACCCAGGGCGCCATGGGGAACAGAACAGGAACGGAAGAAAAAAAAACAAAAACTGTTGTCAAAGGACCCTTGTTATTGACTCCAATACATAAATTATGATCTTCTTTTTTCAGATAAAAAGAACCTCATGTCCCTAAGTTTCTAAAAGACAGGGAGACAGGAAGGACCTACTCCATTCTGCTCCGGAACCCCTCAGGGAGACAGGAGTTGTCTCCCTTATCTAGCCCTGAAACCTAATGATGAGATTGGAACGGTCTCTCCCTATTCTACCATAAAACCCACTGAGATAAGAGGGGTACTACCCTAGTTTGTTCTCAAACCACACTGGGAGACTGGTGTTGGCGTCCATATTATGGCCCTGATACACCACAGATAGACAGGAGTAGTCTCCCCTAGTCTGCCCAGAATCCAAATAGGAAGGATGGAATGGTTTCCTATTATCTGCCCTGAAACCCTATAGGGAGACAGGAGTGATCTTTGTTAGTCTGCCCTGAAATCAAACAGCGAGACAAGAGTGGTTTTCCCTAGTTAGTTCTGAAATCCCACTGGGGAGACTGGAGTGGACGACCATATTTTGGCCGTGACACATTAGTAGACTGGTGTAGGCGTCCATAGTCTGCCCTGAAACCAAACTGGAAGAAAGGAATGGACTACAACTGTCTGCCCTGAAACACTAGTAGGGTTACCTTAAGAGATACAGGAGTGATCTCCCCTAGTTTGCCCTGAAACCAAACAGTGAGGCAAGAGTGGTCTCCCCTATACTGCCACGGACGTCCACCTCACCTTCTGAGGACAGTCAAAATGTTCCTGTGGAATGAGCTCGTTCTTGAGTAGCGCTTTCAGCAATTCCTCCTCGATGGTGTCAAATCCTTTGTTTCTGTTAAAACATGATGGAGATAATTAAACCGGAAATTTAACTGTCACATTGCCTTTATGGGAAAGCAGAAAGGATAGAAAATGTAACACAATGCTTGTAGTTATGTCATTTAGTCATCTCCTGGCAACAGTGAGTGAGTGAGGAACCTTTTACTCCGCTTTTAGCAATATTCCAGCAATATCACTGCTGGGGACATCAGAAATGGGCTTCACACATTGTACCCATGTCGGGAATCGAACCCGGTCTTTGGCGTGACGAGCGAACGCTTTGACCACTAGGCTACCCGACCGCCCCAGTCCTTGAATTAACAAAATGAGGATATCTACACCAAACTTGGCCCTGCAATATTAATAAGAGTTTATATGCCATGTATATCATAATAGTTCAGGGTAAAGCCAAAGTTATTCACAGTTACTATATATCTGCTGAGACACTGTTTATCTGGTCTTTGTTTAATGCTACACTCCGCAATATTCGAGATATATGACGTGGTCTGTAAATACCAAGTCTGGATCAGACATTCCAGTGATTGATATAGTGAACAACAAACCACGTCATTAGGGTATGATGACACACAATCAACCAGGTTAGCAAGCCTGAATGCTGACAAAGGATTATAACTTAGGCTAAAAAGGATGAGTGAGTGAATGTTGCCTTATGCCAGTCAGCAATATTCCACCTGTTTCAATAGTCTGTAAATAGTCAAATCAGGGTCAGATACGTCAACATTCAGTGGTTGATATCATGAGCAAAGTACCACACACAACATGACATCCAGCAATTTTCACTGTTAGGGCTTCCATAGATGTAGTGTTTTGACTCATTTCAAACGTAACCATGGTAACTATTATCGGGCCAGTTCATACCTTTGAATACCGTAGTATCCTTTACCACAGTAGGCCAGCAAGATGGCCACCTTCCTCTTCCTGTCTGCCCGACCCTGCATGGGGGCAACCTGCTGCTGAAACACCACAGGGGTCAAAGTGGACAACAGTTTACATATAACAACTACATTATTCAAGAAATGACTTTCACTTTGTGAGAGTTCATTGGAGTATGAACCTTCATAGAGTGAGGGCCAAACTGTCTACTTCTTAGAAATGCCTGTCAAAGGCACAGACATTTCATGAAAATCCCATTTTCCACTGACAATTCCATGACCTGTTAAAAACCTGCCATATAAGCACAGTGAATATTTTAGCATAATTGCAGTGCAGAGATATTATCTTACTTTGTAATACAATTAAAAAAATACTAACAAACAAGCCTTTGTTTAACAATTAAACAGGTTAAGGTGCTGAAATACCATGCTGCTGTGTATCATGGACACCCTACTCAGGACACTGATTCCATGGTCGACCAGTCCATGTTTTATCCCCTTAATGCTGACAGGGTAACTAGGATTAAAACCATACTTGATATAATGAACTGACCCTAAAGTATTATATTTAGAATATTAAACACCCACTGAGCTCATCTTCCCAAGGCAAGGAAGTTCACTGACTGTAAAAGTCTAGTTTCCGCCTTTGCTGAAATAGGGTTTGATCATACTCATAGTGCCTCCAGTGGCTCTAAGATTTATGTCCCTCCTATTGACCAATCAGATTCCACCTCTCATACCTCTTGCATTTGCTTCAAACAAAATGGAGGTGCCCAGTGAAGAAGATCTGATCGATAATCAAGATCTATATTGTAATAAAACGAGTTTTATTTTGCAAAGTGCATCAAAACAGGTGATTAAAAACATGAAAAGATTTGGAAAATATCTGTTGACTCTTAAGTTTACGGTACACATGCTTTGCAAATCCTGCAATCAACCGAAGTCTGCAATGCAGTTTACGAACCAGATGTTGATTTTGTTACAGGATTTTGATTGGACTATGCATAGACTTGTTAGTCCAGCCAAAATATTACTCCATAATTGCAGCCTAGTTCTGCAAGGGTGGAAACTGTTAACCCCCTTGCCTCGGGAAGATGACTGAGCTAAACAAACCTCTTGTTTGACTTTCTTCTGTGCAGGTTGTTCGTCAGGGGCATCTTTCTCGTCCTTCTCCAACGGCCTCTTCTCCATACCTAGCTCTGGGGAAGCCTGGGAAATAGTAGTGGACATGTGTCAGGATGGGCTGAATACTGTAGAGGAGTGTAAGCGTCAAATTCCATTCACTAAGTACATTATTATTGCCCCCGTCACTGGATCAGTGAGCACTTAACCATCATTCTCAGCTCCCTAGGAAGTATACAACCCATGCTGCCCCTGAGGCGGTACGACGTTAATAACCACATTCCTATCTCATCCTCCCGGGTACCCATTCACTGCTGGGTGAAAAGAGGCACATTTTGAACAAAGTCAGGACCAAAGTCCTCGAAACTCTCAGGAGCCAAGCATGGTCAGCCATCCAAGGACTCTCTGCGACCATTGTTGCTTAACTTCACCTGAGTTGTGACCTGTGCACAGTACCATGTGCTGCCCTGTGGCATTACTTTGTGACACACGAATACTGGCACTGAATCACTTCAAGTTTCCATCTTGTTGTCCATCATGGAGGGAATGATAAGAACATTAATTTATCACAATCTACACAATAAAAGGACTGACTGTTAAGTTTTATACAAATCATGATGTATTTAAGAAATAAATGACTATTGGTCATTGTTTATTGTCCAATAAAACACTGGAGGAAGAGTAAACCATGAGGGAACAGCGCCGAGTGGTTTATTCTCCCGACAGTATTTTATTGTACGATAAACATCGAACAAGAGTCTATTCATTTATTTTATACATGAGATATCAACAGTATGTACAGTCTCTTCAAGGGTGTTAGAAAAAGTCCAAGATTTGAAAATATTTACCCATATCTAAATATTGACTCCATGAATACAATTTGATCACGGCAATGAACGATAAGTCCATTTTATGAACAAGGAAGATAAGTTTAGTATCTCCCGGATAGTCTCACAATTGTCACAGCGATGTTGTTGTTTCTCCAATACAGATTGCCATGATATCTTGCTCACATTTGGAAGTGACCATTCGGCCATTGCATTTATTTGCGTTGCCCAGCTACATCTATGGGGAACAACTAAGACACTTCCCTCTAAAAAATAACGTCATCCAATTTACGTCATCAAATTGCAGGGGTTGAATGTATGTTTGTTGTTGTATGTTTGAATCTCCAGAAATGATGTCATGATGGAACAATGTTTTATTGTGAAATAAACCATGCTTCATTCTTCAATGTTCTTGGTGTATCGTATACATTATAATATACTGGGATACCCACATGTTTACTAAGGTCCAGTGCCTCTGCCATATTTGCTGTCTTCTTGATAATTCTAGCTAGAGAAGCTGATAGACGTCGAAGCATCCGTATCTGCTTTTCCTGAAGCCCCTCCTGTCAAATCATATAAATGATATTATCACATAATTCTGACATTATAAGACAAAGCGATAAGGAACATATTAGGAATATAAAACAGTTTGAATAAACCATTTTTTTAAATTCCTAAATATAGGATATTAATGATATGGATACACACATGGATACAATATTTTCTTCAGTATAGTGTGCACCTAAGTATAATGTGCTTCCCCTCTAGTGGATTCAGTATTTTGGAAAAATGATTTTCCAATATTATGTGCAGAAACAAATTACACCATACCCCTTCAGCGAATTCCGGTACACGAATGGGTGATAAGAAACTTGGTCAGTACAGTATTCCAATATCATGTTATTTTAGTTACAGCTTTTACTAACTATATTTAAAATAATAATAACCCTAAACATAGCACTTCGATGCAGCAGATTGCTATTGTCGGATATTTTTTTGACATGGAACAATTTGACCAGTCACCATCGACGCTTCCGCACACGTGATCGCAAGAACTACATATTGACATAGATTTGTCAAACTACAACAAATATGATTTTTAATGAGTCAAAGTATGGCATTTATGATATACATCCATTCTCTAATTAAAGTTTGTTTCAAGGCACCAATAGCTGTAATCTGACCATGGTTGCTGTTAATAACGGTGAGTTGTGTGATCTTCCAATCTCTTCACACACGATTTCGCCAAAATTAATTAAAACAATATTAAAAGTAATTTTGAATAAAATTAATGAAATAAGTTACAAACATCAGTCCACATGGTCCAGATATACAATGAACACTTTTTATGACCAGGCAGTGTAATTACAAGATTACATTGTGTACTCCAGTACGGATTTATTGACATGGTATTTCGGGTGTTGCATGCTCACAGTAATGTCTTTGCGTTGGGGGAAAAAAACTAAAAAATTCATTATGGCATGTATAACATGTATAATGCGCGCCCCCTTCTACACAGCTGTGTTTTTTTTTTTAAAAAGTGTGCACTATACCATTGTATACTCAAGAAAATATGGTAATATCCTCTATGCAAAGGCCAACTTTTTCTTATCTTGGCTGACAGATATGCCAACACTAAATTACTATATCCTCCTGCAATCAAACTTTTAGGAATCGCTGTGAGAAAATAATTCACATTCATGCACTGTTGCTGTGTCTAAAGAATGTGGTATGTATCTCTGTACAACCACAGAATTTGTCCCCCATTCATGATTTTATGTATTTTATTTTCTGTAGGGTCCAAATCCTGTATTTTATTTAACCCAGAATTATTTCAGTTATTTTTCCCAGATAAATATGTCACTCTTCTAATGAAAACAAGCAAAAATAAAACGAGTAACAATCATGTGCGCACAATACCAGGGTTGCATGAAAATTAGTTACTAACCAGTAAACGAATGGTAAATGCGTAGGAGTCAAGTGTTTTGACGGACCCTTTAACAAGAGGAACAACAACTGAGGCTGTAAACATGGTAAACTCAGAGCTGTATTGCAATACATATTGTAATAAGTATCAAGGCCCAAATAATATATCTCTATTGTTCAAAGGGTACTTCTTTAATCAATAAGAAACCTGTCTTACATGTTAATTCTTCTGTGGCCGTATTGGAAAATTAATACGCAAGGGTTGTATTGCGATACGTGTATTGCATATGGACTTATTGCAACACACTGGTATACCAGTTATATTGCACATCCGTAGCACTCGCACACACTGAAGTTGAGGAGGCAGGTGCAAACTTAGTATCGGAATCTCTAATAGGAGGTTACCAACTGTATTACGTATCACAGCGATCGGGAGGTATCAGATAATAAAAGCAGAGTAGTACATAGCATACGATTTCGAGGCTACCGTCGGTGAAGCACAAGTTGGCTGACGCAGCATGGTGAAATGTTCACAAAAATGTTTTACTTTTAGCTAAGCTTAAAATTATTTTGAACGTCACTAAACATAAATTGGCATTTACAAAAATTAACAAACCTTGTGTTGGGCACTAGTGTTGTAACACTCACTGGCACTACTGCTTGAAATCAGTTCCAATAAGTTGAAAACTTCGCGTTGAGTTACCGAAAGTATTACCTACACAGCCATGTGTACACTGCATGTCGCCATGTTGGGTCTTGGGAGTTATCTGCCCTTTGCAAATATTCGGTACATTGTAAAATCGGAAACTGAAACTATTTGAAACCAAATTGTCGATTTTAATTCGTCTCACTATATTCATCATTCATAAATATAGAACGTGATGATCTTAACAATACAAATATTTATGACCTTCGTTGAAAATATACTTACCGGGAGCAATTATTTTATTTCCAGGGAGTGGTTTGAGATCGGCATGTTTTTATTTATAAAGGAGCACCATTATTTTTTGTATTATACTAATGATAATAATAATAATAAGAAGAATGATAATAATAATATAAAAAACACCACAACCAACAACAACAACAACACCAATAATAATAAAAACACCACCACCAACAACAACAACAACAATAATAAAAACACCACCACCACCAACAACAATAATAATAATAACTAATTTTATTGTCGTCAAGAAAAAGGCACATTATGTTGTTTCTACAATGTGAGGCATATGATTTTTTTATATCAGTAAAGCAGGGTCTTCCAACGACAGTAAACGGGTGTGTCAAGATCACAATTAATGGACTATGGACTATGGCCTTTTGAGTTAAAAGTTATCGCATGTGCATGTATAAATATAAGTGAACATTCCCAGCGGCTGGCTAATTTCGTACCAAAGGGACTATCGATTAACTTGTATTAACCTAACACAAAATCGTTTATCAACTTCTGACATTTCTTAGTTTTAAAGGGGGACTATCCTCCACGAAACGGCTCCCACTGTCGGACTGGTTCTAGGCCTTGTAATTAGTAACTCTTGGCCAATTACACACGTTTTGTCTCTAAGCAGTTATGATAATCACCAACCGATAGAGAGAAGTAAATGATAAAATTTGAGTTTACAGACAAGTAAGGTGTGTTTTGCCCCATGGAAACTGGACGTTTATCGTCTGTTGACCTGCTTGCCTCCTCGAAACTGGACGTTTATCGTCTGTTGACTGTCCTGCCTCCTGGAAACTTGGCGTTTATCGTCTGTTGACTGCCTTGCCTCCTGGAAACTGGACGCTTATCGTCTGTTGACTGTCCTGCCTCGTGGAAACTGGACGTTTATCACACTGTGGCTTCCATCGAGCTTTATATGTTAGTAATATGTGTGACTATTGTCCATCTTATCTTAGACTGGCAGCAGCACGTTTCCAATATTAATGAGAAGTATTCACATAAAAATACTTAAATATATTTTTCATCGACCTGGGTTTCCGAATGCATACAATTTTGGGAACAATTATGTTTCTATATTTATTCTTTAAACGCTCCAAAAAATATCAACAATTCCCCCAAAAGTAAAAAAAAAACATATTACCGATAACGAAACTAGGACTATTAACATCTCATTAAAACTAAGGGCTATGTCCAGGAGTAAGAGATCTATATAATGAGATTGGTACATACTACTATCAACAGCACAGCTGCTGTTTTATGAAGAATTTAAAAGTAACTAACAATGTAGTAATCATTGTAGTTGATATATTATCACGGTAAAAAAACGGTTTTCTTGGTCAAGACTCGATTGTTTACAGGCAGCCGCGAAGCTGATAACATTCACTGACTAACTGTCCCGTGATATTGACATGTCGTGCGGTCGAGATAAGGGCAACAGATTGCACTGATAACGAGGCAATGTTTGGGTTGAAGGGTCTGTTAGGCGTGCTTGAGAATGTTCTTGAAGACCAGTCGCACGTTTGTGGGTAGGTACGCAGTGAATTCAAAAATACAAAACTGAATAAGAATACAAAGGAAACGAGTGAGTGAGTATGGTTTTACGCCGCTTTTAGCAATATTCCAGCAATATCACGGACACCAGAAATGGGCTTCACACATTGTACCCATGTCGGGAATCGAACCCGGGTCTTCGGCGTGACGAGTTAACGCAAAGGAAACGAACAAAAAATATGGAGTACAGCTTGTTGATCTCTTGATAATAGGTCAAGGTCACGCAGCTTGTGCTGTAACGGTTCAGACATACATGTATTCTTTGACACGACGAGGAGAGTTGTCTGAGAGAGTCCTCACACAGCTTATCACTGATAACAGAGCCCACCATCTCTTGAGATCGTTTATTCATTATTACACATCTACTCTGGAGTTGTTGTTTAACGTCACAAGCAATTGGGATACAGTGATATGCATCAACCAAGTCAGCGAGCCTGACCACCCGATCCCGTTAGCCTCTCACGACAAACATAGTCGCCTTTTACGGAAGACATTGGTTGCTGAAGACTTATATTCTAACCTGAATCTTCGCCGGTGCATCTACTCTAGAGAGCGGTGTTGAACAAGGAGAGAGTCAACAATTTCTAGATTCATTTGACATGTGGAGCACTTGTAAACATGTTCAAGATCCATTACATGCCATAGCCCCGTGAAGATCCGGTTTAGAATAGGTCTTCAGCAACCCATGCTTGTCGTAAGAGACGACTAACGGGATCGGGTGGTCAGGCTCGCTGACTTGGTTGATGCATGTCATCGTATCCCAATTGCGTAGATCGATGCTCATGATGTCAATCACTAGATTGTCTGGTCCAGGCTCGATTGTTTACAGACCGCCGTCAAATTGCTGGAATATCGTTGAAAGTGACATTAAAAAATATACATACAAATAAACAAACAAACAAAACATGCCAGTTACATAACAAAGATCAGGCTGTCAGATGGGATCTTGCGGGGAGAGTTGTGGTTGGCGAATGCGTTGCAGGATCCTGGTAGTACAAAGGGAGGCAAGTGTGTGTCACCCGTGCCTCTTGAGTCCGAGTGCGGAAATGACCTGCCAGATTCTGGCATGGCTAAGGGGCGCAACTCAGTGCCTCCTGAGTCGGAGAACGGTACTGCGATGTTTTAGTGAGTGAGTAAGTGAGCTGGGTGTAAAACACTGCTTTGAACAATATGAAGTCGCCTAGTTCTGCAAGAGCCACGCTAATGCTCTTGAGCTTCACTTAAGCAGGAGTTAACAGGGGCGGTCGGGTAGCCTAGTGGTTAAAGCGTTCGCTCGTAACGCCGAAGACCCGGGTTCGATTCCCGACATGGGTACAATGTGTGAAGCCCATTTCTGGTGTCCCCCGCCGTGATATTGCTGGAATATTGCTAAAAGCGGCGTAAAACCAAACTCACTCACTCAGGAGTTAACAGGTTACAGGGTGGAAGAAATACGCCTTCCTCAGGATATGAAACAAATAGCACAGGCCACAGGAGAAAACATCTTGTGCATGTGATGAAGAAGGAACGGGTCCACATTTCTACTGTTATTCATCATAGCTAAGTACAGATCAATCGGAAGCTACATAGATCCCGGGTGTGTAGACCACACGTGCTGTTTACACGTACATGACACGACAAAGTAACCTGAAGAAGATCACTAGGAGAGTGTCAAACACGTTAGGTTTGGGCGGGACGAAGGGTCCTTTCAACAATATAATTTCTTTTCAACATTCTGAAGCCTAAATTTTTTTTTAAAATTTTTCTGAGACATTTGTTTTTAGACAACTCAACCCACCCCCATGAGTGAGTGACTTGGGTTTAACGCCGCTTTTAACAGTAATCCAGTTGTATCACGGGGAAAGCCCCAAGTGATGCAGGTCTCAGACCTTTAGCGCTTCGGTGAAACCCACGAGCACGGGTACAGTGCTGACAAACCTAGAAATATAATCGGGGCGAAACGGAATTCAAACCCACAATCATAGGTTTCTGGTGTGTCAAAGGGACGCAACTCTGCACAGCGATTCGCGGTGCCTTAGACGACTGGGCCACTGTATCGAGATTTAGTCAGTCTTTGTTTCTTATAGTGAGAGAGTCAGCCAGTTACTTAAATAAAACAAATGAAACGACTTTTAAATATATTGATGAATTGGTTCAGCTCTGTCTGTATGTCCATAAAGAGATATACTCAAGTCATAGCACTTAGTAAATTTATGAGTGAGGCATACCAGAGTTATAGTCGATGTAATTATGTATTTAAACATATAATTAATCATTATAAAGGTTTCACTGTATGAAAATAAAGTTTGAATCAGATACCCGCGATCCCGATTTTGTTTTTCTCAAACCGCCGATGAGTGACTGAAAAACGTGGACCTTCGCATCAAGGTTTGTGGATTGTGGTCTATTGTCCAGTGTTTGAAATAAAAACAATTGCCTGGCTGCCATCGGGTCCCACAGACTTAATTAGCTGCAGGCCCTGACCAAACTCTTCTGTCCCTCATTTAAAAAACAAACTGCAGCTTATTGTGACAAACAAGTCCACATTGTTTCTGCAGGCCATAAGCCGCCACACAAATTTGAAACTACGAGCCCGAAGCGACATCTACCTGCCACGGGCCTACGGGCTTGCGCTTTTGTCGAACACAGCTGTTGTCGTGTGTGGGCACTCTACGGTACACACGCTCTGACGGTCCGCCTCTTGGACTCTCGTGGTACAATGCAAGGATATATCAGTTTTTCACACGGGGATGGGGATTGGGTGTGGTGGGAATTTTGTGATTCCTTTAATACGGGTGCTAGAGGAATATAAATAACAGAAAACAGTGTTATTGGTGGTCGTGTTTCAACGTTAAAAACATGTCCAACTTCTTAAGGTATATCGGTGAAATACGTTGACATTTACCCGATGACCTGTGAAACCATAGCATTATGTAAATTGATTTATGATTCAAAACATAGGGGTACCCCTTTATACCCTCCTGATAGGTGTAGTTAAGGCAGTTCGCTTTTAGAAGGCATACAAACATTAAGAAGCATCCCCGTGTAACTTCCATTGATAACAGCCGTATTTAACTATTGAGACAGTTCGTCCTTATAAAGCATAATAGTAAACACCACCACCAACACCATCTCTTATAACACCCCTTTTTAACAACGTATCGGCAAATTCCGTATGCAAATAGATATTTCGCAACCCCTCGCCATGACGACGACCTTTACAGGTGTTTCGAAACCACATGATCGATTATAAAGCTTCCCCTATTTCCTCCACTGAGTGCTCCGCTGACCCCGCCCATGATCGCGACTGGTCATTGACGGTATAATCTGGGTCGCGGTATTGAAAGGACTCAAGGTTTGCACACATTTACGTCTCCATGAGAGAAAGCATGTTGTGTGTATTTCGTTGCCTGATTATAAACATGTTATGTGGACGAAAGACGCCGTCATACCAAGGTATGTACAACACTTCCTATGGATTTTTGTCGTGGGTGTCGTTGTTGTGAAACACGTTGTTTATAGTAAAAGACTTCGATGGTGATACGATAAAGCAGATGTTTCTGAGATGAACGGTTGGGCAATCAAAGAAATTATTCACTGATGTTAATGATACAATATAATCATTTCAAGAATTATATTGAGATGGAAAACATTTTTCAATTTGATCCAAGCTATCCAGAAATGCTATAAGGGTGCGTTAAAACAATGTTTCCATCTTCCCGAGGCAAGGGAATTAGCTGACTTTAAAAGCCAAGTAGAAACTGGACTTTTACAGTCAGTTAACTTCCTTGGCTCGGGAAGATAAAAACCTTCATAACGTAGGACCCTGTTATACCGGAAACCTCGGTGGCCGGGCGAGTCTGTCGCCGAACACTGGAACGTTCAATGGCAGAAGCTCATGGTGGTCAATTAACTGAGAGACTGCATTGGCTCCAGTGCCGGTTGACCAGTACAACACGGTATGTCTGCTTAGTGTGTGAGTAAAGCCCAAAGTAATGCGGATTAATATTGAATAAATAATCTACGTCGCAGTCAATATTTGAGCCATACATAGCAACGATCTGGTGTACGATATCTACACTTTGCTGAAACCAACGCGCATAATTATGGTGTTTGGGACCGACCACCAAACAAAAAATTATGCTTACGACTGTTGAAAACAAAAGAAATTGACTGCCACAAAAAAAAACATTGTTGCAAGGTGTGATAGTTTTAAATAGAAAAATATCTGGTTTTGTAGCCTTAGCTGAACAAATTTCTCATCTCGATTAACAATCCCAGGCCACCCCCCACCCCCACCCCTATATCCCTATCCCCACCCCCACAGAATATCAAATGGTCGGTCTCGTGTACGAGAACGATAGCGCCAAAAGCACTGGCAAACGTTCAGTTACAACCTGTCGACAATCTATCTACAACTGTAATGGCTAGTCAAATAGTCCATACATCACGCAAGGTAAACAGGCCCATCAATGTCATACCGTGAGCAGTCAGTGTCAGTGTTGCCCCCGTGTCTCAGTCTGGGTATTGGCATGTGAGATACCGTTATTTGACCGAGTCACTTGATACAGAAGTGGACTTGAGTCCGAAGTCCAGTAAATTCCGTCAGTCCGTCAACGTCGTTACTGTTTGATTTGACCTCGAACATGATGTCAGAGTTTCAATCTCATTAAATTCGGATTTTGACTTCGATGTGGTACCTCTTTGCGTGAATATCTGGGGACACCCCCGTAGAAGGCCGCGTGAGGCAAACCCTGAGTGAGCTATCATGCGTGGATTCTTTTCAGCTTTCTAATACGAGTCGGCTTCGTTTATTTATCCCATCGATTCGGAAATTTCGATTTGTACAAATGAAAGCCACAAAGACACAAATGTACCTTCGATCGCACTCCCATTTGGATGCAGGTGGCGCTCAGAAACGACAGAATGTAGGATTTGTTTGTTTGTATGTTGTTTAACGGCGCACTCATCTATATACCAGCTCTATGACGGAGGTCTGAAAAATAATGGAGTCTGGACCAGATAATCCAGTGATCGTGAACAACGATCCACGCAATTGGGATACGATGACATGCATCAACAAAGTCAGCGAGCCTGACCACCCGACCCAGTTAGTCGCCTCTTACGACAAGCAAAATCGCCTTTCATGGCAAGCATGGGTTGCTCTAAGATCTATTCTAACCCGGATCTTCACGGGTCAGAATGTATGAAATATCCACAACAACGTAATGGCGCCGCTATCTCTACTTTCGGAACTTGTCGTTTGACTTCGTTCTCGAGATACAGATATCAGCTGGTTTGAATGCCCTTGCTCACTCCGAGACGTTCGTCACCAAATCGTGATATTGCGGGACAAGAGTAGGTGGCTCTATTTGCAGGTTACGGAAAAGGTCGAGTGGTGACGAATGTTACTAAGACCCCCTGTGGAGGAGTGAAATATGTAATTTTAACGAGATTGTAAAAGTTTCCCCAAGAATAAATTCTTTTGTCGTGCAGAAACAAGCAAGAAAATAATCTTTTACCTATACATAAATATCGCACCAGTTTGGTTAAACCAACGTGGTGGTTCATGAAGCGGACAAGATAAAATTTGATTCGAACCTACAACCAGCGGATCCAGGCACGGTTAGGGGACGCAACTCAAAGCTGCGGCTGAGGTCCGGATGCCTCTTGCATGGTCCCTTGATTGGATAGCTTACCCGTAAACCCAAGTTCTAGTCCGTGTATTTGTCTGGTCTTGAGATAAACTTGAATTGATAGAGAAATTTGTTGATGGGAAAACGAAGGACAAAACGGCACTGCTAGCCCTTATGATCGATGTGGGTCCGCCTTTTACAAAACGATAATCTATTGCATGTCCCGTGTTTAGAAATCTTGCAACTGTGAAATATGATATTCTGTTTTATTTTTTCAGGGCAGCGGGATTATGCGCGAAAGTTGTCTTGGTGATAGTATGACGTAAAAGTCCAAATCACTTATGACAGTGTGTCGTCACTAAATGAGCGATATGAAACGGATATTAAGACATTCAAGAATAACTCTAAACACCCGTCTTAGAGTATGTGGCGCGTGCCTAATCACATTCGTTGTATTTCTGGAAATATTTTCAATGTCAGAAATAACTGACAACGAATATATTCATATTTTCAACTCTGAAGAAGTTCCAAACGCCTCGCATAAAACCATACTTCTTTGGACCTCACTTTTCAATAACAACACATGGACACTGCCAAATTTAAACATACCCAGCTGTCCAAAGTATTACCCAAACAGATGTGAACTGACAACTGATCGAACACGCCTCGTCACAAGCGATGTGCTGCTATTTCACTCAGGGGACATTGATGAGCTGCCTTCGATTAGACGGACGGGTCAGATCTGGGTGATTTTCAATATGGAAGCTTTACCAAACATACGACAAAGTCTCAAACAGTTTAATGGTCTTTTCAATTGGACAACCTGGTACAGGACGGATTCAACTGTACCCATGGTATATGGGTATGCTCTGAAAAGGCCTCGAAGAGACATGGAACTGTCAATAGATATATTCGCAGAAAAATCCAAAATGGCGTTTTGGGCAGCTAGTAATTGCGATGATCCAGTTCATCGATACAAGGTTGTGCATGAACTGAAGAAACATGTCGATGTGGATACGTATGGTCGATGTGGGGAATTGGTGTGTGATAAGACTGATAAAGAGTGTTTTAAGAAGTTAACGGACTACAAGTTTGTACTTTCATTCGAGAACAGCCACTGTCGAGATTACGTGACGGAGAAGTATTGGTTGGCGCTGAGAAGGCGACAGATCCCTATTGTTTATGGTGGCGCTGATTACGAGTCTTTGGTACTTCCGCGCTCGTATATCAACGTCAGAGATTTCACTAACCTATCAGCACTAGCGACATATATGATCAAGGTCGCTGCGAACAGAACGTTATACAACAGTTATTTTGATTGGATGAGGGAGTATGAACTGCCACCGTGCAATCAGGAGTTTAACGAGCACTGTTTTGATTTGGAGTCCTATTTTTGTTCCCTGTGTGGAGCTCTGCATGATCGGACTACACCGTCCCAAGTGTACAGCAACCTGCATGGGTGGGCGACAAATGACCTTCCACAGTGTCAGGAGTTTTCAGTAAGTACCGAGCCTCTTTTCTTCCTTATATAGACCGCCTCAGTGGTCTAGTGGTAGAGCGGAAGGTCCGGGGTTCGATCCTCGACCGCGTCATACCAAAATACGTTAAACGATGGTACTTGTTGTCACCCTGTCTAACGCTCGGCATTAAGGGGCTAAAACAAGGACTGGTCGGCTCGGAGTAAGTATACTGTGTCTGAGTGGGGTATTCATGTTAACCTGATCCATGGTATCTCAGTGTGCTAGCACTATAAATCGGCATCAGTCCGTATTAGTACAAGCAGCCACACACACACACACACACACACACACACACACACGTGCATGCACGTCGCTATGTAAGTGTAATCATCTTGGACGCGACGTTAAACCCAACCCATCTCACCTCACCTCTTCTTTTTATAAGTGAGTTCAAACACAAGCAAGAGCACAAAGACAATGATGTCACCTAGCCCTTAGAATATGTGCATAAAATGAAGTTAATAAGTTAATGTAAATGTGAAACAGTGGTTTGTCTCATTTACTCCAAATGTCCCCACCCCCACCCACCCCCACCCCCCACCCCACCCCCCAGCAACCCATCCACATTATAGTGATGCACCAACATTTAAATATGGGTTGACTTCAGTATTTCAGGTTGTTCAACCCGTTCAGACTGCTGGGCGTGTAGCCAGTGCCCCGAAGGAGGACCCTCGGACAAACGGTGCAATAGCGGTTTCCAGGGGGACATTCGTACTGATTACGCTACACAGTGATAACTTTGTCCACGAGTTTCGACAACAAAACATGTACTTTGATCTATTTATTCTTCACTAGAATTGTTTCATCAAAACCAACATTTTTATCAAAATCAACCCCCTCGACAACAACACACACACACTCATCAACACCAACACACTCATCAACATCATCAACACCAACAGACCCATGAGCAGACCCGTGAAGGTCCGGAGTAGAATAGATCTCGCTGACTTGGTTGATCGATGCTCATGATGTCAATCACTGGATTGTCTGGTCGATTATTTACAGACCGCCGTCATATAGCTGGAATATTACTAAGTGCGGCGTTAAGCAACAAACAAACAAAACACTCATCAATATCATCAGCACCAACACACTCATCAACATCAACGACCTCATCAACACCAACACACTCATCAACATCATCACACTCATCAACATCATCGACCTCATCAACACCAACACAATCAACACCAACACACTCATCAACATCATCACACTCATCAACACCAACACATTCATCAACATCATCACAACCATCAACACCAACACACTCATCATCATCGACCTCATCAACACCAACACACGCATAAACATCATCAACACCAACACACTCATCAACATCATCAACACCAACACACTCATTGATCTCATCAACATCATCAACACCAACACACTCATCAACATCATCAACACAAACACACTCATTGATCTCATCAACACCAACACACTCATCAACCTCATCAACACCAACACACACATCAACATCATCAACACCAACACACTCATTGATCTCATCAACACCAACACACTCATCGACCTCATCAACACCAACACACACATCAACATCATCAACACCAACACACTCATTGATCTCATCAACACCAACACACTCATCAACCTCATCAACACCAACACACACATCAACATCATCAACACCAACACACTCATTGATCTCATCAACATCATCAACACCAACACACTCATCAACATCATCAACACAAACACACTCATTGATCTCATCAACATCATCAACACCAACACACTCATTGATCTCATCAACATCATCAACACCAACACACTCATCAACATCATCAACACAAACACACTCATTGATCTCATCAACATCATCAACACCAACACACTCATCAACATCAACACCAACACACTCATCAACATCATCAACACCAACACACTCATCAACATCATCAACACCAACACACTCATCAACATCATCATACTTATCAACATCATCGACCTCATCAACACCAACACACTCATCAACATAATCCTCATCAACATCAACACAAACACCGTCATAAACGCCACCGTCCATCATACCATCAACGCCAATGTCAATTCAAAAACCTAAATCAACATCATAATAATAATCATCATCATCAAAATCTAAATCAACATCAACTCCACCATCAATATTCTGATTCCTACAGAGTCGGTACTACTCTGTTATATTTGCAAAAGTCGTCCTACAGGGTAAATGTCAATAAAGCATCAACCTTTGTCATCTACGAAGAGACAGGTTCCCAGTTCGTCTCGCAACCACTGGTTTCAACGTTGGCTCACCAGTATCATGTATATATCACGTGCGAAGAAGGCCTTAATCAATGTATGTCTGTCTCGCAGTATGTAGGAGATTTTACACCGAATATATTTTTTGAATTATTTGATGCCCAAATCCAACCAGAAGTATGGGGATTTCAGCGATACGATAGTCTCGGAAAGCTACATGTTTTTATCCTGTAAAAAATTCCTATCCGCTGGTCCATCAACCCCCAATTGTATGGTCTGTGGCGAGTGTGGCAGATACTAGTTATATATCAACTCCCAAATTAGATGCTTGAAATACTGGTTTAATATTCTTGGAATGCATGAACGCCGAATCCCCAAACTTGCTTATAATATGCTTGTACCTTTAGACGACATGGGCAAAGGAACATGGGCATCACATGGAAACCTTTTGTTTTCACATGGCTACGGGTTGTATGGGTAAACTAAGCAGTTGGTGATGTTAAACTCTTTTTGAAACAATTTCGTGAACAATCTATAAAATATGTTTTATCAGGAATGGCATTCCACTCTAGAAAACAGTTCAAAAACAGTTCTAGACTTGTATAGAACTTTAAGAGTCTCATTCAACCCGAAAAATACTTATCTACATTAACACCAAGAACCCTTCGACGTCCATTTATTCAATTTAGGCTCGGATTGTTAGATCTCATGATAAATGAAGGAAGAAAAATGTCCTCTGAAAAGTCGAAGAGGCTGTGCCCATGATGTCATTCAGCTATAGAAAATGAAATTCATTTTTGTTTTGTACGTCCTTATTATTCTGATCAAAGAAACAAGTTTATACCAGGACGCTTATCCCGTACCTGCTTTTATTTCTCTTCTTTCTTCAAAAGATGATGCTGTCATATTAAAACTGGCTATATATGTTAAACATGCAATTTCCCTCAGAAACAAATTGTTAAATTGAGTATATATCCAAATATGTAAACTATTTATTTGTAACTCTTTTGTATACGGGCCGGAGGCCTTACATGCAATAAATATCTTTGACTTTGACTATTATATTTGTGTAGCCAGGATCCATGTTGTAAGTGATGCTGTCACACGATCTGCAAGAAAAATACAGCTGGCAGGAAAGGTCATTCGCCTGACACAGACTCGTGGTCTCAACAACTGAGGCACTGAAACATGACATCAGCAGGAACAGATCGTCTGAATGTAGCAGCCATTCAATTTACATCTTAATGGACTCACGGACTATAGCGACAGGGAGTAGGTGTTGCGGGTAAATCGATTAACTGTGTATGAACACACAATGTCATTTAGAAAGTGGTCAAATGTAACAAATGTTATATTTGGGATAACACTTTTTTAGTAAAGTACAGATTCTCGTACTTTTTTGGGTTGAGTCCCGTCCACGATTAACTGTGGTAGTGAATGAAGTTGATTATGACGTGACCTCGAAAAGCTGAGTGAAACAAAATGTGATGTTTGACACATATGTTTTATTTGTAAAGGTATCTGAGGGCTCGTTTGCTATGCATCCTTGTGTTTGAAAGGTACATAAAACGTCCCGCATTCAGGAGAAATACCAACATACAGAAAGTCTTAATCCTCTGTTTTTTTCACAGATGTTTTACCTTTGGCATGGAAACAAAAAAATTGTGATTCTACAGTTGAAGGCATCGCTTTCGTCATTCTTCTTGACATGTATACCTTGTTTGTTTTACACTTAGCATCTTTGATATTTAACTTTGTACTTTTCTGTGAACGCTGATCGTGAATGTATATGTTCACGTCGCTATATGACTGAACTATTGCAGTCAAATATTAACTCGTCTCTCACTAACAGCGGAGGGGAGGTCGGGTAGCCTAGTGGTTAAAGCGTTCGCTCGTCACGCCGAAGACCCAGGTTCGATTCCCGACATGGGTACAATGTGTGAAATCCTTTTGTTCCCCACCCTGATATTGCTGGAATATTGTTTAAAGCGGCATAAACCATACTCACTCAATCACCAACAGATGTGCCATGTCATTGTTAAACGTAAAGTGCATTCTGTAGCGGAGATAAAGCTACTGCGTTTTGAAATTTAATGTCCCACTGGTGAGTAGATACCTCTTATTTTAATTTGTTTCAAATGTATATATAAAAGGGTACTACACAGGACCTTAGGATCTTAGAACCTTCCGATAGTGCAAACTGTACGTTGTTTGTCATATGCGCAAGCTATTTGCTTTTTGTTTACACTGCATGACGTATTTGAGAATGCTGTTATCAAGATTTATTATAATCGACATTTTATTGACTAGTCGCCGTAGACATTTTACGTTCGTTTCTTTCCCCCCGAGTGTAGAATTCGAAATATGTCCAGATTCTAAAACTGGACGCGAAAACAAGTTATATTTGTAAATAAGAGCATCGCTTGAAACTACTGTGGGCGTTTTTGGAAACCCAGAGGTTAAAGCATTCGCTCGTCACACTGAAGACCCAGATTCCACTCCGGTCATACATACGATGTGTGAAGCCCTTTCTGGCGTCCCCTGCCGTGGTATTGCTGGAATATTGTTCAAACGGCGTAAAACTCTACTCGTTCACCCTCGCATTTGTTTTTTGGCTCGCTAAGTAAACACATGGGCCAATACCTCAGACATTCGCAAAACACCAGTTCCTGAGGTTGTCCTCGGGTTGACTACACTTGTTTTTGTTGGGTCTTCTCCATGGTATTTCCTTTCTGTATACATTTGCGTGTCTTTTTAGTTTTGGGCGTACACTAGTTGCAAACATATTCCGGCAGACATCTGACTTGTCACCCATGTCTTGAGGTGTATTCCCCTCACAGCTTACCTCACAGTCGTCATTAGACAACATTAGCATGTGCAAGCAGATTAAATAATTTTTACTTTTTAAGTAAATGACAAAACCCCAGGTCTCTATGCTAACAGTTTATTGAATATCTTGGATATTTGAGATAAGGTGGCATTTTAAATACGTCTAAACTCGATGGTAACGCTCCCTTAACGTCTTTCTCAGTCAGCACAGACGTTATGGATCAACAAAGGTGTCCCGTTTACTGACTGCTGGTATGTTCGCGAACTGGATAGCTTTAAGACTGCTAGCTCGTCGTACTGTCTTAGTTGTGACAATTTTGTCTCCATAGTTGTCTTCTGAGCAGCCTCGGCTCTTTCCACTATTGTATGATGTCACGTCTACCTTGGAGTACTGCTTTGAAGAGGGCACGCTACGACGGGTATTATGTTTGATCTACGATGACCTTTCTTTAGTATAGGTTGGAATGTCTTCCTCGTTCGATTTTCAAAATACTGGATAAACTTCTTGGGGTCCGGAACCAATACTTTTCGTTCCATTGTCGTTATTTTAGGAAAGGATAATGGCATGTCCATGTTAAAGAACTGTCTGACTTTGTCTTGTTCAGACAAGTTGCGACATGTGTGAACTTGTTCTCCTCCGTCAAACAAACAACCAAAGCATAATTCAACACTGAGACGTTTCCTGATTTTACGGAGTTCCAGACTGTAACATGAGTGAGTGAGTTGGGTTTAACGCCGCTTTTAACAGTATTCCAGTTATATAGCGGCTTGTCAGCTTCATGTGGGAAGAAAGCCCGAAGTGATGCAGGTCTCAG